GGGTTTAAGTGTTTAACATGCAAGTGGTTTATATCAAGGAGTCGCCACTAATCGATTTGGGGTGGGTCGATTAGAAACCCAAATAGGGTGATGGGAGAATCACCCTATTCCTACGAACCGAGATTAAATGAGTTCGGGGACTTGGTTACACTAGTTGGATAACTAATGCCCTTTCGGTACCATTTTACCCTGTTCATTTCGAAAACATTTGTCGCAATTTGGATTGATTTTAGGACCTTTCTCCTAACATGTGAGGTGATCAAACGAGTGCATAATCAGAAACGATTAGCAGTCAGGAACACAACAATTCATGCAACCTAAGGTTCTAACCTTAACTAAGTCAGATGACATTCAAAAACACAATAGCTCATGGAATTGTATTAAAAACATGCATAATAATACAGCGATAATAAAAACTATCATGCAAAATATTACCGCGCAATCTCGTGATTGTCTAATTTAAACAAGATAAAAATATGCATAATAATACTATAATAAATTAAACATTTAGAATATATCACACAAATTTTTTTAATTTTTTTAATTTTTTTTTTTTCGAGAAAAGAAAAAAAAAATAATAATAATAATACAGAAGAAAAGAAAAATAAAAAAAATTAATTTTTTAATTTTTTTTTAAATTTTTTATTTTTTTAAAAAAAAAATTTTAAATAAAATAATAATATAATATTAACCGGGTCGGGTCGGATCCGACCTGGTCAACGGATCCGACCCGAGCGTTGACCCGGTCGGATCGGTCAATCCGGTCGGCAACCGACCCGGTCAACGGATCCGACCGGGCGTTGACCCGGCTCTGAGCTGACAATCCGGGTCGGTGAACCGACCCGAGTCAACGGATCCGACTCGGGGCGTTGACCCGGCCTGGATCTGCATCCGGCCTGGGTCGGGAACCGACCCGAGTGACCATGCAGATCCGACCGGGGCGTTGACCGGGTCGGATCTGACTGATTCGGGCCGAATCCGGCCCGAACAAGTCATGGACCTGCGGGGAGAGGGCGCCGTGAGGCCGGGGCCAAATTGGCCGTCAGCTGCCGTCGACTCCAGGCGCCGCCTAATCGCCCGTAGGACCGCCTGGCCGTGCCAGCTCACCCGAGCCGCCGTGGACCACTGCCGATTAGCGGCCGTGAAAAAAACCCGGCCTCTTTGAGGCATTTCATCGAACAGGTGGCGTGCACGGCAAAAATCAAGGATTTCGGTCTCTCCGGCGACTCGGTCGCTCCAACGGCCTTGGTTCGCTCCGACGGTGAGCGAGGCAGGGACCGACGTCGGTATGGGCAATGGATTCGCACGAAATGGCCGGCGCGAGTCCCGCCCAACCACGCGGAAAACGGGGAAAACTGGAGGAGGCTCTCGGCGGGGGCTCACGGCAAGGCCCGGTGGTCTTCCTTCAGGCCGCTCCGTGGGCGACAGCGACGCCCGCTGGTTGTCTTTCTTGCTCCGGCGTGGCCTCGGTTTGCTCTCTCTCTCCTCTCTATTCTCTCTTGTCTCTCTCGTCTCTCTCTCGTGTTTCGCCGACCGGGGGCTCTCTCTCTCTCACTGTGTCACTGCCATCGGCTCGACGGTGGGGATGGATGGCTGAGACGCGGTGCGAGCACGGCGGTCGCCGGAAGAGCTCTCGGTCTCTTCCTTTCTCTCTCGGCTTCTCTCTGTGTTTTTTTTCTAAAAAAATGGCCCACCGACCGGGACTCTCTCTCTCTCTCTGGCTTTTATAGGCGGCGACGACGCGTCTCTTCGCTCTCTGCGTCGGCGTGATGACGGCTGCGCACCGGCCTACGCCACGCCACGACTTTCGTGGCCATTGCGAGCCGGTGCAGAAGCAGAGGGGGTCGGTGCGAGAGGGTGCGAGAACCGAGAGGAGGAGAGGATAAGGGAGAGGAAATGGGAGGACGGATCGCACATTAATGCCGACCCGGCAATGCTTCATCCGGCTTCCTCCTCGCCGGCCGAGCGACAGGCGAAGCCGGCGCCGCCGTGCGTCACGCTTCCGTCGCGGCGAGGAGAACAGGGCGAGGAGAACGGCGAGCGGGGGAAGAAGAAGAAGGAAGGAAGAAGGTCAGGGCGGGCAGGCAAGGCGAGTGAAGGGAAAAAAAAAAAGGAAGCGGGCCCGCGTGAAGGAAAAAAAGAAAAGAAAAAGGGCCGGGCCCGGGGAAAAAGGAAAAAGGAAATGGGCGGGTCGGCCCAACTCCGACCCGGCCCGACTCGAAATTTTTTTTTTTTTTTTGTTTAAAATTTAAGAAAATATGCTCTAATAGGCCCTATTAATGCACATATGCCTAATGTTTATATGCAATGCATTTAAATAGAAATATATTTTTTTTGTTTTAGGAATTAAAGAAAATTAATTCCTAAATTTTGCAATTAATTTTGGGCAAATTAAAAATAGGTGTCAACATTGATAAACTCTTTCGGTGTACTTGGCTCTTTAAGTAGAACGACTGCAATAATATGGTCATGTCAGGCCATTTATATATGAACAGATGACAGAGAACGAATTGCAAGAAAGTTTGCTTATAATTTTCTTCTTTCATATTTTTTCCTTTAGGTGCTGGCATTAGTCTTGGCTGCTTGGGTCTTCTCCTTTTCAGCTAATTGGTTAAGAAGATATCTAAAGAGAAAAAGAGAGAGAATTATCAAGGACAGAAGGTTCAAACAAAATGGAGGATTGTTGTAGCAACAAAAGTTCTCCTCTGGGAGGAAATGAAAGAGGAGCTTTGTTGTGGTTGATGAGAGGAGAGCTTTGATGTGGAACAACTCTATCTGTTGATCTGAAAAGCATTGTCCCTTGACCTTGACCTGGACCTGATTTGGTAAATTAAAGAGTCTTGTCTCTTCAATTTCTTTAGAGAAAAGTTTCATGAAAATGAATGGACATTCATGCTTGTTGTGCAATGGAGCAGTATCTATTCCAGTTCTTTTCCCGATTCATTAAGCTAATATTGTAGATATGAAAAGTGGAGTAATCTCCATTGTTCGTAAATGTGTGAAAAATGGACAGACCCTCATTAAAACATCTCCAGATATTGTTATTTAATATTTAATAGAGAGATTATACGCCAATAATATATGAGAGAAAAGCAAAATATACTTATTAATTGGTAAGTTTAGATTTATTGACTTTTAAATTGAATTACATTTAAATTATTAAGTAAAGCGGATAGATCTTGATATATTGCTCTAGAAACATTATATCAGACCAGATGAGATGGTTAATTAATATCAAGTGATGTGTCCCATTAATGTTAAGGAAAATGGGAGGGAATGGAGCTTTTGTGATGACGTGGCTCTACCACAAAACTCCGTTCTACCCAACTTTCTTATCATTTATAGATGCTACCTGATGGTACCATAGTTGCTGTGAAAAGGTCGAAGACCATTGACAGAGCCCAAATCAGGCAATTCGTCAATGAGGTCGTTGTCCTATCATAGGTTAATCATCGGAACATTGTGAAATCGAAAGGTCGCTGTTAGGACACCGAGCTTCCTTTACTGGGGTATGAGTTCATATCCCCAACGGCACCCTGTCACAGCAGAGTCATCAGCAAGACAAATACAACGCATAAGTCCGCGGAGTTTTCGTACTTCAAGGCCAGTTCTATATAACAAAACCCACCCAACAACGGTCGTGCAAGGTACATTTAAATACTTCCAATCCAGTCGATTCACAGGTAAAGTGACGAGTACAGTTTCCGATCTCTGTTAGTTAAGTTACTTACTGGGCAGAGTACCAACATCTTAAGGGGACGATGAAGGCGGACATCGAGTTGCCAGCTTTGTCTTGCTAACAAGGGACAGCCGTTTGGCAGAGAAGTTATTATGGAGCTTGAAGGAATTAGGAAAGCTCATAGTTTCTATCCGAAGATGGACTACCCAGTGAGGCCAGTGAAGAGTCGCTGGGTGGTACTCGTTCTGAGATTAGTCCATTAATGTATATCCCGGACAGCCCTGTAGATTACACAGATATCATGCTGTCGTCGAAAGCATCAAAAGATACCCATCAAGTTGTATACATCTTTCATGGTTGATATTTCTACGCATTAAGGCTCCGTTCGTTTGGCGGAAAATATTCTCCTTTTGGAAAATATTTTCCCGGAAGTCATTTTCCCGGAACATAATTTTCCGGTGTTCGGCGACCAATATGAAAAAGTTTCGGAAAATATTTTTCGCCGGCGACCGGCGGCCGCGGCAGCGGCGTCCCGGCGGCGGCTTCCGGCTGCGGCGGCGTCCGGCGACGGCGTCCGGCGTGGCAGCGTCCGACGGCGGCTTCCGCTATGGCGGCAGGCGCCGGCGTCCGGCGACAGCGGCCGGCGGCAGCGACCGGCGAAACCAACGTCCGGCGGCATCCGTAGCGGCTCGCGGCAAGCAATAACGTCCGCACATCCGCTGGAGGCGTACGGCGGCCGGCGGCGGCCGGCGGCCGGCGGCAGCGGCGACCGGCGGCGGCCGCACCCGCAGCGGCGACGGCGGCGGCCGGCGACCTTAGTGAAGAAGAAGAAGAAGAAGCTCAGGAAAATGATTTCCGCGCTGAAGAAGCTAAGTCATTTTCCGTAGACTTAGGCTATTTTGTGAGTGGGGGAAGGAAAATATTTTCCCACGGAAAACGTTTTCCGCCCCCCGAACACCGGAAAACCCGGAAAATATTTTCCGGGAGAATATTTTCCGCAAAACGAACGGAACCTAAGTAAATGATTTCGTCTCTCTTTGTTCCAATCATTAGCGAATGGTGGTTTGGGTGTTTTGAGAGAGAACAGAGGTTATGATTCACACCACTCCTATCACATACCATTGATTCCAACGAACGATTCTCATTTGCAGACATCAACTTTCTGAATAACACGGCGGAAAATATCTACCAAGGATGTTGAAGCTACTCAGTTCCCTATATCTCTAGTCCTCCAGGTAATATCGGCACTGAACTGGCGCATTCATCTACAATGAGCCTTTCTTTCCAAGTTCCATAACATTGTTTATGGGTCGGCCGGACGTAGCCTCTAAGTCGCACCTTCTGCATTTCCAAATTGCTCCATGACAAAATGCATAGCACAAGTACCATAGAATTATTTACAAGTTCATACTAAAACATCTGCAATGTCACAGCCTAACACAGTTGTCATCAGATATGGTCTCTTCAGAAGATGCATCACTGTTGATGACAATCAAATCATCTTGTTTACCAACGTGATGCTGAGAAGCCTTGCAAAATTCAGCTGCTTCATGCCCCATTTGCAATGAGAAGTTGCCTTCAAAAGCAGAACTACCAGACGGCTGGATATTACCTGGCCTCGATGCGTCAGACACACCACCTACACTGTTAGTCGATCCCAAGTGTGGTTCACTAGAATCTGAATAACATCGAATTATCTGTATATTGTCGGAAGGAGAAATGGAAGAAAGACATGAGGACTGAGTTCGCTCTGTCAACCTTGGTGGAGGCGTATTAACAACTTCCCTCAACCAATGGGGCAAATTACCTTCCACTCCTCGAACCCCCCTAAAAAATCCCCCGCTAAGCCTTGCCGTCGCATCTCTTTCCATATACTCAAAAGACATTTTATCACAGTTCTTCTCAAGTAAATCTGCATATAGATTCCTTCTTGGATAATCACTCTGGAGCTGCTGAATGCCATAGTTGACAAGATCTGGACAATTCAGGCGGCGCCTCTTATTCTTTCTATGAGCATATATATTCCCTAGTGAGAGTCGGGTCTCATCCATCAAATTTCCTCGTAGAGTCCCGGGATTAAAGAGATAACTACTAAACAGCTGATCCTGCGAACTTGAGGTTCTGAATTGCGGTGACCAATGACCACTCAAAAGTTTAATCTGCTCCGCCTCCCATCGATCAGAAAGGTCCCTTGCCACCCTGCAAGGTGAGAAGTGTAATCTTGGATCCCTTAGCATGGCATCCCAGTTGTTCTTTCCGTATCTTCTCACGCCTATCCAGAGAACATCCAACTCCTCTTCTGACCACATATCAACATATGGCTTAAGCTTGTCTTGCATATTTTCTTTTCCAGCCAAAGCTTTAGCTCGATTCATAATGTTATCAAGCATCTGTTTGTGTCTGTGAAGCACTGATCTCTGGCTCGACAAAACTTGGGGAAATGCATGCAGCATGAATTCTCTATCACTCCAAGGCGCTGAAGTGGAGCTGTTTACATAGGCACATCCACCAATCCTAGTTTCAGTTGGCAAATATGAACCTGCAAACTGAGATCTGCTAAAAGTTTGATCCATGCAACGAGTATCAAGTCCTAATTGGAGATCTTCTCTTGCATCAGCAACATGGAAAGTAGCCATTTCTGGGGATTTAATTGGCAAGCGCAATGATTTTTCAGTTTGACCATCCACAAGAAGCTGAAATTAGAGGATGAGGCACCAATCATATCCAATGTAAACCAAAATGATTCCAAGAACAATTGACAACAAGCAAACAATAATTTTAACACACACCAATATCTTAAAGCAATGTAAATGAATAACAAAGGACAAAAAAAGTATGGTATAAGTGAAAGATCGTGTTTCGTCTGCTGGCAGTTCAATTCATGCTTAAAAAAGCTACCACTCTCAGAAATAAAAGCACACTAACAAATAAAAGCATGTCAACAAGGCGGATATGCAATAGGAGAAACTACTTACCTGCATGCATTTGATCTTTGGTGAAACTTCCATCGTCAAACCCATGGAAGTCAAACCATTATTGCATTTGGCATGGAGTTCCTCATCAATATATGGATCAGGATGCACTTGTCTTTGGTTGAGGAATGGAGATTCTCCCACTGCCTCTTTTGTGACATTCACGAAATCTGAAGGAGAGCCATTAAATTCATTTGGGGAAGGAGATGAGCCATGAACAGCTTTAGACCAACCATTTGCTGGCTGACTCTGAAAATCCACATTCAAATTGATGCTTTCACGTGTAGCACGAGAATCTGCACAGGTCAATCGATATTAAATTAGCTGAGGCAAAAGTTACTTGATATATATTTCCATCAAGATGAATGCATCTATGATATTATTGCAACAGAAACATATCCAACACTGTAAATGCTCTAAGTTCATGTCTCCATAATGCATCTGAACTACAGAAGGGTCAAAGGAAAGACATACCAGGGGGTGCGATACACAGATTTAAACAAGGACTAAATAATTCTCTTCTCCCAGAGTCTGGTTTAGATGTAATCTTGCTACCATCAACTGAACATATTTGAGATTCCTCATCAAATTGCAGTTGGCATTTAGGATCTTCAGTTTGTTTGCCACTACCTGTGGCGTCGGCAGTGGAGTTGTCAACCACAATAGATTCGGAGGACTTGAGAAGAAAGTCTCCCTTGACATTCAAAGTATTATCAGAGTGAACATCAGCTATTGATCCAACACTAGGCGAGGAACCGTTAGACTTCGTTTGCACTTGTTTCCCCTCAGTCACACTGTTTTAATGAACATAACAAGAAATGACATGAACACGTAAGCTCATAAACAAAGTAACTAATTTACATCAAAATATGCATCAAGTGAGTATTGTCAACATACATCTCTTTTCCAGGAAAAGATCCGGAATGAGTTGATATTGAATTAACGTCTTCTATCTGAATAAGAAAAAAAAAAGATTTAAGTGTTAGCACACTAGTAAAGATTTGCTTTAATAGATTTCAGTGTCCAACAAAGATGTAAGACACATCAATAATCACTAAGTGTTTGCTTGAAGATCGATAGTTGTTCAGCAATTAAGTTTCACTTCCATGGACATTACCAGGGGTGGTAGAACTGTTAACCATCATCTAGACCGGATTTGGTACTAAAACAAACCAAATCGTTAATCCAAATTGGTTTTAGAGTAATATTTGCCTCCATGTTCAACTCAAATTGAACCCGATTCCATCCCTCAGATTAGAGTCATTAGAGGCCAGCTTACCCATACTGACATGTGATTATTTTGTCAAGAATGATGAACCTTTTCAAACAGTGGCAAAGTTCAAGACAGTAAGTGTAAAATGATCACAATTGTGATCGTGCCAGATGTAAACTGCAGAGTCAAAGGGAAATTCTATTCTATGATGATTGTGGAACCATGATTTTTCAAAAATATCAAATTGAAAAATACTAAAACCAGGCCAAGGGACCACAACACATAAACAGCCACGCTGTCAGCGTCTCCTGAGTGGCTCACTAGACCTCTTAAGAGAATGATGGCACCCATTTGTTTAAGTACAAGTGTAAGTGATTACTATTGACAGAACTCTTCTTGTGCTGGATAACACAAATATGATTACTGATAAGATGAATGAGAAATTCAATTCATGTTCTTGAGTGGAATTTAATTGAAACATCAGTATGTGATCCTGCCCTACTATATTTTGATACACAGATTAGCGACAGTAATCTAGTGAAAAGTTACTGAGACAACCCCCACAAGATACACATGCTGCAAACTAAAGATAGGAAAAAGATGAAATACCAGAAAGCTGATAAAACAAATGGAAAAGTGTGAAATGGAATGAAGACACACTTGATCAGTTATGTGGATTCTATGTAAATCAGCAGGCATTTTTGACACTGTTCTCTCATCTTCAGGGCGGCACTGACATGTTGCAGCAGACAGACACTGTATGTCATGAATGAAGTTGGTCCCTTGTTGAAGCTCCTTACAAAATTTCTTCTCGGGTAGCAATTTGCTTTCTACATCAGTGCCTACACACTTTCTCCTTATGTGCCTTCTCTTGAATGTAATCAATGGAGTGGGTGATTTCATTTTCTCATGCAACTCGCCAGATACAGAAGCTGAATTCTCCTCGATGAGTGAACCACTGTCCTCCGAGTTTGATGTTCTTACAGATAAAACTTTGCCATCTGGAAGGCCACACTTTTCCTGAAATGTTGAATTTAAGCTATAATGGTCTTCCTTTTCAGCATCGACAGCCAATAACAGGGTATCGGTACAACAGACTGAGCAGCCATCATCAGATTTGGATACCGATAGATATATTGGATAGGACTCTGAATGGTCACCATTTTTCAGACCTTTTGACTTTGTATATGCTGAAGACAATTCATTGAAGTTCTGAACAGATGCATCTGTTGAAGGATTATGTGATAAAGGTGATTTAGATGCATGAACAGCCAATACAAGCACATCAGGTTCATTAGTGCTGTCATCCTCCTTAAGCCTCCAAGAAGTACCAGTGGGCGAAGATGCCAAAGGATCTTGTTCTGTGAGACAGCTGTGGCTTGGGCTTTTGTCATGAACATGCTTTAAAGTAGGAAAAAATTAATATCAGGTGAGGACAGCAGGAACCACAACATAAGTGCTTTGCGAAATCGATACAATTCATGCAGACAATGCCATAGAAGATAATACAGCTGATAGCAGTCATTTGACGGTCAAATCTCTTCTTGAAGCAAGATAGATCCGTCATGATTCACTGCCAACACTGGAGATAATATCCTGGGATCACCACTTCGCACTTGCACATGCAGTTCAGCTCTCTCAATTCCGAACTGTTTTTCTAGTTGTGAAAAAATGCCATTATAAACTATAAGCACATTGGAGGGTAATGAGTATAACTCACTAGCTAGTCTGTATAATCTCTAGCAAGTAGCAACTTGATATCCTGATACCTGAACCTTACTCAACCTCTAAGACCATGAAAATGTCGCATTTGTGGTTCTTCCTATTGATACAGGTTAGTCTGTATCACAGAACGAGGTATTTTTTCCTTTACAGATGTACCATCAACCTATTATCTAAGCTTTAAAGTCAGACTAAATAGATTCCATTGCCTCATTTCTACTGAATATGATAGGGATCCTATTCACCTTCTACTACTTTTCGATTCACCAGTCTTACCCGGTGCTCCACTCAGTTTATCGAATCCCAGGAAAGAATACATTTTGAGTGGAGAAAAAATGTAAAATGACGAGACATTTTGCAATCGAATAGCCTATAAGAATCTCTGCATATCTTTACCAGTGTCAAATGTCATAAACCAACAAAGACAGCGGATTGCTCCATATGAATTATGACGTACTTCCATGAAGCTCTAACCTCAAATGCAGGTTTCCCTTGTTGACAGGCTTATTAACTAGCAGATGAAAAACCATAGGATTATCATTTACAGCTAAATTTAACAGACTCTGAGCATGCATGAATGCATCAAAGCAGCATAGAAATTCTAGCCAAAAGTTTTGCACATCGTACCAGCATATTTGTTCCCTGATTTTCCCAAAAATTGTTTTCACATTCTTCTTTCGCACGTGGCGTGATTGCTAATCCTTCTAAAGTTGAATCATTTTGTCCTGGTTCTTGAGCAAGACATATTGTTGATGATGGCCGTTTCCTCCTGTATGTTAGAAGCACTTTTTTGCCGGACATTTCTCCTTCCAATAAGTTCTATACTTACAAAGTAATGTCTAGTGACATATGAACACTAAAATGATGCCCAGCAACTATACACACCGAGAGAGGAGAAGCAAAGGAGGTCAGACTGGAGAGTCATACCATCAAGCGTCTGCACCAATATAAAGATATCCTGAATTAAAGGTGACTAAGAAAATAGAGAGGCCGAAAACATTCTAGATACATAAGTCAGACCTTGTAATACCATTGTGAGGGACAGCCTCAAGTAGTTAGTTTAGTGCAAACAGAGGAATCCATCATAACAGGGATTGACAAAGACAAACCATAATGATACAGAAAGCAATTGCACCCTGAAGCTAAATATACCGGGCCATAAAGGACCTATCTTTGAGCTTTGCACTCTTATAAGAAGTCATTTCCAACCTTCAAGTGTTAAAGAAATGAAAGAAATCCATAAAATCAACATTCCACAGAGAACAAATTAAATGGAAGCTCCATTTTACACTTGCTTATGTCCTCTATACACATTACACAACATTTAGTAAAAAACACATTTCATCAAACATAACCAAACTTCAGCTGAAACAGTAAATTAAAGCCCAAAATTTCAACATTTTGCTTCACATTCTCAGCAATATTCCCAAAAAGTCTCAGCAACCAAGAGAAGACGAACTCACCACACCACCATACCCTTCACTACCTCTGCTTGAAATCAACAAATAAGTATAGAAAACTCAATAGCCAAAGACAACTAAACTGAAAGCCGCTGACAACAAGCAACGACTCGTTATGATCATACCTCTATACCCGCCGGAGAGACCCATGAACCAAGGGGTAGCTCGAAACTTTTTGTTTCTCTCTCTATCTCTATGTGGGTGCCAGCAAGTTTGAAACTTTTCTCTCTCTACTGTGTTAAAGCGTGAGCTTTATTGCCCGGGGGCCGGGGCTTGCTGGTGCAACAGATAAAGAGAGAGAGAGCGAGCATTGAACAGTGGTATAGATCAAAAACGTTTCGTTTCCCAGTTTCCGACGTCAATTCAATTGTCATCTCAGCGTAAACAGGCTTTCCGAGGGTGGCCCCCACACACGCACAGACACACGAGACACACTACGGAGAGGTAAGCGTGCGATGCATGGTCGAGAGGGAGCTACGGAATGCCACGTCATCGCTGTCGGGGTGGGCCCACTCACCATGGCACGTGGGAACTTTGATCGAGAGAGGGAGAGAGAGACACACATTTCAGGCCCAAGTCCAACATGGCTCCAGTTGGGCTCCGAAGATATACGCGGTGCTGAGTCCAGTGACATGCAATAAGGTGGACTTCTTTTGTTCTGGTTTCTTTGGGGACAACTTGAATAAGTGATTGCCTCGTTCAAATGGAAGGGGATTGTTTGGAATAGAAGTTTGATGCATTCTAATGGAGGAAGTTCACCTACTTTTGAGAGCATAGGAGAAAAAAGGATTTAGACTTGATTTTGGCAGATCAAGCTTTCCGAAAAGGATATCCAAATAGTGAATTTTTTTATGTCACAATGGATGATATGCAGAGTATTAGTTGAGAAGGCAATATTAGATAATTTTCGAAGATGTATCTATCATTTTTTAAAGTTTTTTAAGGCCACCAAGCTAACTATTTTATACTATGATTTTGTTCTCTTGTCTTCTCTTTTGTTGGAGGATTGGTTTCCGAACATATTTAGCTCAACCAACATAGTACTAAGTAAGTAAGTCGAGGATGATATTCATCCGGGTACTTCATATGCCCGTTTTTCACACCCGCGTGATTTTTGGGCTAACCTTTCTCATGATGGCTGTGGAATTAAGATAGCATGCTGGGATTGGGAAAAAGGTTGACTTTTTGTCAACACCAATCTTGCACTTTCACCCTACAAAGATTAAACTTTGTATATTGCAAAGGAATACATGGATCCGGATGGAAACTATCTCACCATACGAAATCGTACTTTTGTATCTGTTTGGCGGTTCGGAGAACTTGTGGGGAGCCCCTTCTGCAGGATCAGGAATCAGGGGTAGTTCCAAAGATAAGGGCAGGTATGAGAAGAAGGTTAGTTATGACCTTATGGGGCCAAACTGTTCTTCTTTTCCTATGTTACTCTCGTCTCATTTCTGTCGATTCCTCTGTTTTTGCCCTTTTCTTGTTCACTGGAGTTTGAAATAACCAAGGAACAAAAAGGACCAACGACTGACCTGAATAGGGAGTCCTCAACCACCCTTGTGCACGTGGCATGGAAAATGCCTCAGAATGTCTGTTCTGTTCTGTTTCATCTCCCTGTCCTCCGTTTATTATAAAAGTATGACTAAATGATGACTGAACAGAGGAGAGTCTTTGGGTGCTCGTTGTTGTTGGATGAATAGACAGGCAATCCTGGGCTTGAGACTTCCTCGCCAACAGAAAAACATCATCTGATACTTTCCAAGCTGACAGCACAAAAGTAAATACATAGACAATGGTAGATTCTTCTGTCGGTCATTTCCCCCCCTTCTTTAAATTGTTTTTTTCCTGTTAGTCCGACTTGTTCCTATCTTGTGTTATACAATTAGGCACCATCAACCCCCCATTTCGTTTTCATTGTTGTGGGACTTTAGTTCCTTTGAAAAGTTCACCACCTTTCACTTGTTCCTCTCTCTTGGTGAAGGGATTGACATCTTCTGGAAATCATGTGGACAGCTCCTCTGAGGGTTCCTTTGGACACGGAAGAACGGGAAGACGATGGTGAATCTTCAGGTTGGTTTGCTTTAAGCTGGCAATTTGATTTTGGCTTCCGCTTATTCTGGCTTCCCTTGCCACTCATAAATTCTGAGTGTTCGTGCGCCTCGCGTCTGGTGTACAGCGCGGCACGGGGTACAAAGTAGACAAATAATTATCGAGGTATCTCCAGTGGTTCGATTGTTTTTGAGAAAGAAAACTAAATCTTTGATCTCTTTGGAAGTTTGAACCTAGTGATCCTTTTGATATGCTGTCTTAACTAGCTGAGTGTGATTGCGTGAAGGTAACGGTTGTTTCATTCGACGCAAATTCATTAGTGATTGTGACATGCCCGTTTGACCTTCCATGAGGTTGACCTTGTTTAATCTGTTACTTAGTTATGCGTTGCAAGGTAGCAGCAATTACACACCCAACAATCTTGAAAGTTCACTTTTCTTTTTTAACTTAGTTCTGATGCTCACATATTGTATCCTTTTCCATGGATGGCTTTAATTCTAGTGGCACTCGACCCTAGTGGCTCCAAAATTTCTCGAATGTATCTGCAATTGATTCGGGATAGATGTGTTGGAGCATTATGTCATATGCATACTTAACACGCCATCTCATACTATAAATGTAACCATCTGCTTCACACCTCCAGTCTTAGGATAGTTATGTATGAGATCCTTGTTTTACCTTAACGTTTCCGAGCAAGATTGCAATTGGAAGCTCCTCCATACTTTCCTATTGGTATGCCTATGGCTTGGTGCATTTGGACCTTCTCTCTTGCTTGAGGTATTAATGTGCTACTTCATGAAAATCTGATTTTTTCAGGGCTTATTGATGGGATTTCAACTGTCCAAAACACGACTGGCGAAGCATCAACTTCTGGAAAATCAGAGAGAAATTCCTACCAACTTAGGAAAAGTGAGAATTTCAAGCATGAAAAAACTCTAGGTCTATTTGCAGCAAACTTCTTTGATGAGAAAATTTCTGTGTCAAAAAAGGTAGATATTTGCCTCTGCCATTCTAGAGTCTCTTCCTTTTTGCGTATGGCATCGCCACTCCCTTTGGCAGCATGACTAATTCGCAACTTAGTTGCATCTTGGTTGATCGGATCTATGTAACACGATTTTGATTTATGGCTTGATTCAGTTTATTACCAAATTTTGCAGCTCCAGTGGCTCAATCAAGTTGCTACTGTTAAAACTGATGGAACTGTACAGCTCGAAGTTCCACTTGACATCAAGCCTCAGAACCTTGATTTTGAGTCTGAATTCCCATCCATTGGACCAACAGATGAAGACCCTGGTATGGCAGACATTCAAGATTTACCTCCACTGCAAATAGTAATGCTCATTGTTGGAACACGAGGAGACGTACAGCCATTTGTTGCTATTGGAAAACGATTTCAGGTTATGGCGAACTATGATTTTGTTTTCATATTCTCGCTTTGGAAATTGACTGGGCTTTTATTCCAATAGAGGGATGATAATCATCAACTTGTGCCATTGCACAATATTAAATGACTATTTCTCCAGCATAGTCCTTAAAAGAAATTGAAGTGCTATGGTACTCAAATAACATAATGCACGACTTCATGAAGAAAGCAAAGAGAGAGGGGATATGCAGCAGGCATTGTGGTTGCATCCAGGTCTTGATGGAATTCAAATTGCTGGCAATTAATACAACTCTAGAGTTTCCATTTCCAAGCATGAACTTTCAAATTTTCCTTCTTCCTTGTTCTGGATCTTTTCTCTTGACTGATCAACATTTGATTCAGCTCATGTCAAAACTCTGAAAATGATGAATGGAAAGATGCTACATATGTCAATCCACCTATGCTCGCAGCTCGCCTATATTCACTGCATAGTCTACTGTAGGCACATCTCACTCACCTGATGCCTTTCAAACAATATAAAGATTATAATAGCTGTGATCAAACTGCTGCTCTCTGAACTGACAATTATAGGAATCCCACTGCAGGAACATGGCCACCGGGTTAGACTAGCAACTCATTCAAACTTCAGAGAGTTTGTCTTGACTGCTGGATTAGAATTTTATCCTCTGGGTGGAGATCCGAAAGTTCTTGCTTGGTGTTGGTTTCTCATTCTTGTCTTGGTTCTTTTACTTTTTTGCGAAACTAGATGGTAGAAATGAGGTATTGTAGGAATATGAACCCTCAAGATGTTTCTCCTCTGCTGACATTCAATTGATTCGTTCTTTTCCTGCAGACATGGTGAAGAACAAAGGCATCTTACCTTCAAGACCTTCAGAAATTCAAATTCAGAGAAATGAATTGAAGGATATTATTCTCTCTTTACTTCCTGCATGTATGGATCCCGATCCTCATTCTAACATGCCGTTTGAAGCAGATGCAATAATCGCTAATCCTCCAGCATGTGGTGAGACTTCATTATCTCTTTCTGTATCCTTTTTCTTCTTCTTCTTTGTTTTTGTTCAAGCTTAAAGCATTATCCTTAAGTTGAAAGGAAGGTTTTTGATTTCTAGTATCATAGATTCTAAGTGGAAAATGCAGGTTTAGTACAATGATTAACCTGCTTTATTTTGTCACTGGTCTAGTGGTTGTGGCACCACAGACTACTTTAATCATTGCTTCAAAGAAATAATGGACTGCAGCTAACAGTGCGAAATTTCTTTTAGGGCATATTCATGTTGCTGAGGCGCTAAAAGTACCACTTCATATATTTTTCACAATGCCATGGACGTAAGTTTTCTAATCTGATTGCAGCTCTGCCTACCTTCTTTATTTCCCTTCCATTACAGCAATAATCATATGTTTCACAAATAAACTTCTATTTAGTCATTCAACCTAGTTATTCTCTTTGTTACATGCTGCATGTACTAATGGAGATGCATGCAGTACACATTGATCCTATGCACACTGATAATAAAATATTTACCTCAGCCCTACTGGTGAATTTCCGCATCCTTTATCCCGTGTGAAGGTACCAGCTGGGTATAAAGTAAGTCTGTCAGGATTTTTTTGTTTGTCTCGTAGCTGTCTTCTTTATCATATCCTTAATGCTTTTTAACATATTTACAGCTGTCGTATCACATTATTGATGCATTAATTTGGCTTGCGATACGAGACATGATTAATGAGTTTAGAAAGAAAAAGTTGAAGCTTAGACCTGTCACATATTTATGTGGATCCAATAGCCCTCCTCCTGATGTGCCTATTGGTTATATGTGGAGTCCTCACCTTGTCCCTAAACCTAAAGGTAGAGTAAAGTTTGATACAAATTTACTGATAGCTTTCTCACTTGAATCAATATTCCAAGTTATGAAACCTTAATTTCCAAACTGTTGGTTTCTTCAATGACATAATGAACTTGAATTACCTACGCCTTTTGTTATCTGTGTACTTTTAAAGGACGTCTTTCATGATGTTGCCCAGCTTTCTTCGCTCTGCAGATTGGGGCCCCAAGATTGATGTTGTTGGCTTTTGTTTTCTTGACCTTGCATCAACTTACGAGCCACCAGATTCTCTGGTGAAATGGCTAGAAGAAGGTGAAAGGCCCATCTACATTGGTTTTGGTAGCCTTGTGAGTTCCTTCTTGTCAGCATCTCTGCACTGATTATTGGATTTGTTTCCCTTTTCTTCTCTGATCAGTTTTCTATTTGTGTTGGTTTAAGTAGCCAGTTCAAGAACCGCGGAGAATGACAGACATCATAATCAAAGCTCTTGAAACAACTGGACAAAGGGGCATCATTAGTAAAGGATGGGGTGGTCTTGGAAACTGTATGTTCTGGATCCTTTCACTGCTGATTGAAGATTACATAATTGTGCAATTGATTTATACTAATTCTGGAGCGAGCTTTCCATGTCTTAAATTTTGTATGGACAGCTTGTACTTATTATTTGATGCTCTCTTGCCTTCTGTTCCGCAGTGGCAGAACCGATGGAGTATGTGTACCTTCTTGACAACTGTCCCCATGACTGGCTTTTTGCAAGATGTAGTGCAGTGGTAAAACTCGAGTTTCTTTCATGTGAAGTTAACTTATTTGGCAAGTCACTTTGTCTGATTGCAGAGCAACATGCAATGATCATCGAGTTCATAAAAGTGATAAGCTTTCACGTCAGTAAATTGAGGAAGAACTCTTTAGTTTTATTAAAGCAACTGCTGTATGTGAACTATTACCTAATATATGGACATCTTAGTTGGGGTGGCTGAAGGAGCCTTGAACCTCTTTTCAGGGCATCGCTTATCAATATCAAACCTCCGTTCATACCTGCATCTATTGACTAGTTCTGTTACACCAAAAGGAGAACCTTCAGTGTTCTTCTGGTAGATAAACCATTGAATCGAGGATTAAGCAGCTCTAGTCATACAAGATCTTTATGCTACTGAATATTCAACGTATTTGCCAAACTACGTATACATTGAACGCACTACACATTGTCTGACTAAGCAATTCTTTATTCTTTTGACGCCACCAAAAATTAATTGGACATCTGTTCGGAAGTCAACTTTCAAGTTTCTTTTCTTGCATTTGATCTAGGAATACCACGGCTGGTAACTGATATGTGAGCCCCTATTACCAGGTACATCATGGGGGTGCTGGTACAACTGCGGCTGGTCTTAGAGCCGCGGTAAGTTTTTTGATCGGCCATGAACTGTAATTGTACGTGTCTTTCTGTGGATGCCAATTGGCCTTTAAGCTTATGTGGATTCCCCGCTTTTCCAATGGAACAGTGTCCCACAACCATTATACCTTTCTTTGGAGACCAGACCTTCTGGGGTGAACAAGTATATGCCAGAGGAGTAGGTCCTGCACCCATTCCAGTTGATGATTTCTCTCTTGAGAAGTTAATTGATGCCATACGGTTTATGCTGGATCCTAAGGTACTATTGCATCTTGCCTCACGTTTCTGAATCAATTAGTCCCTGACTATCTTACAACAGGTGAAAGAGCGTGCAATGGACCTTGCTGCAGCGATGGAAAATGATGACGGAGTGGGTAGAATGGTGAATTCCTTCTATAAGCATTTTCCTCGCAGAAACTCGGGTTCAGAATGTGAACCGTTGCCTGGTCCATCTAGCTTTCTCTCGATAAGACGATGCTTTGGCTGCTCGTGAACTCGCAAGTCGATTCATTGCTACCGTTTTATGTAATCACCTCCAATTGTTAGATTTGTTGTGCAACATGCATCCTTAAAATGTGACGAGGCAAGAATATACACTTCATTGAAATAATTCGTTGTACAGTATCAGTTGATTTCTGAAGTTCACTGTATTCATCAACTGTCCAGCTATCTTTAATTCTGGCAAATATAAGATTCATGTACAAATAAACCAAGGAAGATGAATAATTGCCAAGTTCTATTCATTATCTGTATTCCGAAGCTGTTACTATTCCTAAGTCGAAGCCATGTTCCCTATCTCCCTAACGTCATTCCTTATTGGTTTTTAAAGGGCAATGTACTTTCAATGACTTCTAAATGCATAATACAGGAATCAGCGCACACATCTGCAGTTTAGCAATAGCATTGTGCAGATGGGATTGAAATGGATTGGACATGTGAAATTGACATCTCTGGATGCTCCAGTGAGGAGATGTGACTATGAAACAGAGACTTGCATTAAAAGGGGTAAAGGAAAACCTAAAATGACTTGGAAAGAGATGATACGAAAAGGTCTAAAGCACTAAGATCTTACTTAAAACTTCATAGTTGATACAAACTGGAACTTAATTGTCTAAAGAGATAATATGGGCGATGCCACTCGGCATAATAAAGGTTTAGACTTTTTAAATCTGCTACCAGTGCGCTGGTTCAACTATAACTAGCCAAGATCATGTTGCCTATACCCAAACTTACCCTTGTACCCTTTCAACTGAGCTCAAACCATTTGTGATAGAGTGATGACAACATGTAAGGTCAAGCAAACAAGAGACTTTAACACACGACCACCAAGTCCAAGTCAATTTTGGCAAGACTGAACAAGATGCACTAAACAAGTTCCTTCATTTGCAGTCTAATTTGCTTTGTGACTCAGCAAGGCAGATTTACCCAATTTCTGGAGGTGAGATGCAAAGTTTCCAAGAGTTTATGGCTTCTGCTTGTGATTGTTCCATTTGTTACAGCTGGTTCCTCCAGGATGCTCTAAACCATTGGAACTCACCTCATATTTGCAAATGCTGTCCTCAGCATATAACATAGGGCCAAATAAATAGAGATGCATAAACTCGAATACACGATCCAATTTACTTCTCAGAGACTGCAACTGTTCTCATTGTACATATGCATGTTCCCCGAAAAGCTGACTAGGGGAAAAATATATTACACTAAAAGGGAAGGCATTTCCCAAATATAAATCACCATGAATGATGTGGCAAAACGCCCAAGAAGTTCAAGAATGGGCAGATGTAACTTCTCCTTTCTTACTCAACACCGAATCCCCTTGAGAACTACTTGTGGAAGCCTCCACTTTAAGCAGTGGCATCTCTATTGTAGGGACAATTGGGGGTTGTAGCCTTCGTGTAACCGTCATATTCAAACCTTTGGTTGTGTGGATTGTTGCTCCTGTGGTCATGTTTACCTGGATACAGGTTCTGGGGTAAGAATTTGCTCTATTGCTGTTTCTATCACAGTTCCGACTCCTTTTACAAATCAAAAGGATGGAAAGCTCGGCGTTCATAAGTTTTGTGAAAATTAAAATGATATAAGCGGCCACCAGTTTTTCAAATCCATCTAGCAATTTACAGAAGGAGCACATAATAAATTCACTCACTGCGGGTGCTCCAACAGCCATTTGAAAGTTAAATCGCCGGACAAGCATTGCCACTGCCACTACTGTCTGCAACAATAAATGAAGCGGCTCATTTGCAGGAAAAAAACACATTCAGTGATACATAGATCCTTACCGTGAGATGAATGCGGAAACAGGAGAAACTTACAATATCGTAGATAAATGATATGCTCAGTTGCTCACAACCTACTAAATGAGGTGCTGTAAATGAGTATAGATAAAGGAGTGATTCAAAACATTACCTCGAATGACGCGAACATGTCCCCTACGCATTTCCTAGGTCCTCCACCGAAGGGCAAGTAACTGAGTGAGAAAATTGAGGGATATCAACAAACAATCAAATATTACTAACGACAAGTGGATAAACCAAAAAAATTTCACAAGCATTGATGAAGAATGCATTTCTAAGTTACAGCAGGAATACTTTGACATCTAACAAACCTGAAATTTTGATTGGTTTCATTTGGATTAGGTCCATCTAGCGGCCATCTTTCAGGATTGAACTTGTCTGCATCAGTCCAGTGATTTGGACTTCGATGGAGGTTCCAGACCGAAATAAAGATATCTTCACCCCTGTCAGTCAACTAGATACATCATTATAAAGTCAAGTTGATACACCTACTTGAACATCTGTATGTAGTAGATGTACAAATTAAAAATTAGAGGAGCACTAATTATTTAGCTCAGGGTAGAAGTATTATTCTGGACAATAATATGGAAAATGCACAATTATATGAAGATTACAATGGATATAATCCTCAAAGATGTGCAGAGAAGGATAACACATGTTTTTAAGACACAATTTGATAGAAATTGACTGCGGAGATCAACGATATCCTAGAATGCTGATGTTTTCCCGTTAATAACTCAGTAAAGAGCTACTTTCCATGACAAACCAACCACGGAGACAAGAATAGAAAATCTTATCGACTGAAGCTTTCCTCCCACGAAATCAATCATACCAAGATTAGAACATTCCTCAAGGAAATCTTTCTCAAGCAGTCAAGTTGACAACCAATCAAGAAAATTTTAACAACTTGAGATTTTCCCCATGATTAAACTAGACTGCTAGAGATAAGAGGTACTTCCTGAGCATATTGTCCTCATGAGGTCAAGAAACTTTTAAGATAATCACCTTTTTATTGGGTACTTCCCAAGGAAATCGCTCTCAAGAGATCGACGAATTAAGACAGGTGGTTGTGGGTAGAGCCTCAATGACTGGAAAAAAGGAGAGAGAAGATGTCAATCCTGTGCGCAAGAAACTGGAATTTTGCACCTTGACTTAGTTAAAGAGAAAAGGAAATCTTACTTCATTGATAACGCGAGTTGTATATTTTAGTTTTTTCATGTCCTCGATGGTTGGTATTCGGTCGCCAAGAACAGAATCAACCTAAAAGGGTGATAAGATCAGAGAATCATGTGATTTAACTTTAAACATCCATTGAGGAAATGAAATTAGTAATCAGGATATACAGTTGGCAGATACCAAATAATAAAGTTTACTCATGTTGCAAATCAGGGTATACTGCAAGGAAATGCATTTTCAAGGTCTAGAAAGAGAACTAATTGATGCAACAAACTTTACTGCTATTTCTTTTACATTTTATTGGGAGTTGGGAATGATACCACATGCATCGAGCCATATATCTAATATAAAAAACCAACACCTTACCTCGTTTTGAAGCTTGGACATGACGCTAGGCTCCTGCAATTGTGTAAGTGAAAAATGCATTAGGCAAGTGGAGAAGCTATTCTTGTACTTTGCCTTTAACTCCAAATTGTCAAATCAAAGTACAAACTTATCAATGATCTAGTCCATTGTATAGGCATTCTAGTCATAGTAAAGCATCGTCGTTTCCATCACATGTTTTTCCTTTGAAATACACTCCAAGTACCTTCGACAGAAGATAAAAGGTCCAAGTTAGCACGGCAGCAGATGTTTCGTGTCCAGCTATCAGCATCGTCATCAGGTCATCTCTGAGTTGCTTACTTGAAAACTACAAAAAGGTGCAAGATTTCTTCAGCAATCTGCGTAGGCGATTAACAAAAATTAGAAAAGCAGGGCACCATACATCATCTTCCGATGCCAAGAGAAAGTGAAGGATACTAGGGTCCTCTTCGTTCATGTATTCCTCATGAAACTGCAAGTCCTCCTCATCTACCATCCTCTGCAAATACAAAGTCAAAAACTTTAATTGTCTCTGCAAATCTATCACCTATTGATGAGCTAAGCAACTAGTCAGATACAGCTAAAGCAGTCTCTGACAAAGTCTTTATCACCGCATTAAACAAAGATGGAGCATATTCATTGGTGCCTAAACAAATGAAAAATAATAGAAGGCTAACTACATGGAAAAATAGCATGTCATGGGAAGAAACTATAGCTACGTCAATGTTACATAGATGCATTAATATAAGGAAAAATAAATTCGACACTTAGGCAGAGCAGGGCGAAAAAAGTCACCTTGCATGTCGCTATCAAATTGTTAAGGGTATCATTGACCAACTTCAAAGCTTCATTGACCTTCTTTTGCTTTGGTGAGATATCTTTCCATATAGGAATTTCCCAGAATGGGATAGGTGAAACACTTCGATCCTCTGCTTCCCGCAGCACAGTATAAACAGCCTGCTCTCATCAAGAAAGAGATCATGGAAATAAATTAACCATCGCAAAGATTTTGAAAGAAGTTAAATAGGCATGCGCAGATACGAAATTTACAAACCACAAATGGCACATTACCTCAACTATTCCAGTATCATTTGTCAATGAATCAAAATCATAGTTAAAAACTGCCTTTCCAATGATGTCCAATGTCAAGCGGGAGAAGAGTGATTCCATCTCTACATCTTCCCTTTCAGAAGCAGCAACATCAAGCTTATCGCAAAGTCTTTGGGAAGCTTTTCCGAACAAGTTAATCATAGCTGCTACATACTACCAAACAAATTAAGGACTTCAATGAACAAGAGAAAATATGAGAAAAGAGAGAGATTTAACTTCTATTGAATTAGAATTGGGAATTATAAAAGTGAACAATCTGAAATTGCATTACCTTCTGATGTAAAGCGGGGACTATAGCACGTCTACGTACTCGCCATACTTCCCCATCTGCTGGTATAAGTCCCTTTCCCATGACAAACTCTAGAATTTCTGCCAGAATACCCTGTTCGTCACAAAGTTCAGATTTAAATTTGAAGACACACTAAACTTACCTCCAGAAACTCATGAAACACCATAGTAAAATTGAAGGACAACAATTAAGTCAACCATCATATACCTTTGAATAAGCTTTTGAGTTGTCCTTCAATATATGCTTTGCAATTGATGGGTCAGAAACTATTAAAAACGACTGCATCCAGAAATCAACAAATGACTGGCTAGAGTACTAAGAATTCGTGCATAACTGGGAGTGGGACGATTCTTATACATTATATAAGAAAGACAACAAAACAATAAGAGCTTATATGCACATGTAGAAGGAGCAAACCTTGGGACCAATGGTCAACCTGAAAATTCCACCATATGTGAGATAAAGTTCGTATAAGGGGATGAAGAAGGCCTCATTCCGAATGGCATTGATTGCACCTTTTGCCTCTGGAATTTTCGGATGGTCTTCACTGGAATCAAACCATTGGAAGAAAAAATCCAAAACTTCGGGAGAAACACCCAATTTCGACAAGCCATTCCTCACCTGAGATGGAAAACTTTTTCCAGAGGGCGACCCAGGGCGAGGGGGGAAGAAAAGTCATAATCAGCAAAGATATATTGGGTGCTTGTAAATAAAACCAATTCTTAAGCTACTCTCAGAACAATCGTAGTGTTTATAATCTGTTTCTTATCCTCCTCCCAGTAAAAATGAAAATGTCAATGCTCGACACTGTTGAAGTACCAAGAGTTTGGCTCGACACTAGATTGGCCTCCTCCTTAAGTGGATGAGTTATTCCTTTACTCTGGAAAAAAGAACAAAGATCTCTACTGTCTACTTTGCTTAGATGCAACCTTTAGATGTCCTGAAACTGGGCTAATCACATGTTCTGTATCTTCTCCGTTTAGCACAATATACATCTCCCGTACATGAACAAGACTACTAGAAATCGAACACGCATTTTTCTGGAGAAAAACTGAAGATGACCCAGATTAGCTGGCAAAAACTTTTATGTCAAGTGGAAACCTAGACTGTCACAATTTGCATAATATCAGCCAATGCAGGAAATATATCTCTCATTGAACACACCCAGATGAACAATTTCCATGGGGAACAAGCTAAACCCATCAAGATCCTTGCTTTCCTTTGCCAAATTCCAACAAGCCGCAATCGAATGAGAACTTTCACTCACCCGGATCGCTCAACGGTGAATTCGCCGGAAGCAATCCGAGCGGACAGCTCGGCACGCCGTTTTTCCTCGACCAACCGCTCCACGCTCTTCACCCCGCTGTCCACAGACCCGGGCTCCCTGCCGTTCGAAGAAGCACAGGTGATCGTCGTCGCCCATCTGTAGTCACCTGCAAAACGAGCAAAACAAGGCGTCCTCAAAAAAGGGGAAGAACCCATTTTCGGCAATCATCGTAAAGACCCTCTTCCTCTTCTTTTTTCAAGAATTCAGAGGACACAGACACGCACACACAAACACGCACACACCCTTCAGTTTAGCGGGAGCGGGTTGTCTGAACCGGGCGGTGTGGAGCTTCGTTTGGAGATTGGACAGAGTAGCAATGGAGGATGAGGAGGGGAGGAGGAGGAGATTGGCGGCCATTGAAGCCGTGCAAGAAGCTCTCCCTTCAGTGGGTGGGTGGAAGCGTACGTAGTGCTAAGAAATGAGAGTCCACGAGTGTTTAGAGAGAGACAGATAATGCAACCGACAATGGCGGTAATCAACTGCTAACAGCCAAACGTCGGAATCTCCGAACGCAACAAGTATGAGATTCTGTTTTGTTTGGCCGAAAATAAATAATCAGTAAAATATTTTTCGAAAAATAATCGTTTGTAAATCTTACGAGAACGATTGAATGCAGAATATTTTCGTTGTCTATAAAAATATCTAGATATAAATTATTATCGACAATAAAAATATTTTTCATTGACTGATTATTTCGAGCGATACAAGCCGTCATTTTTCAAAAAATATTTTTCAAATCGTTCATTTTCCGCGAAACAGACGGAGCCTGGTGTTACAACTCCTTTTTTGTGCTCAATAAATCGAGGGTAATAGAAAAAATTTTCGACCGGATTAATTTCGATGAATGGATATAAATTATCCCATCCATATGATGTTTTTTAGCAACAAAAAAAAATGATCTGATCTGAACACATGATCTATCGCATTTAGACGGATTGCCTAACCACGTTCGATCGGCTCCTTTTGCGATTAGTGTTCACTACTTTCGTGATGACCAACGACTAAATGTGAAGATGTTACTGTATGATTCATAATAGTCGGGATATGCTCGATTTACGTGGCCTACACATATTCTACAATATCCGTTCCTAAATTCGATTTCTTTACGTCGCCGCATTCTTTTTAACAACATGAAAAGTTACGCTGTCGAAAGTCGCCGTAAACTAGCAATTACTTTTTCCTAATGAAGAATTACTAAATCCCAGAGAGAACTTAGTAAGAACCACTTGTTGTTTTTATAAAAGGTTAATATCACAAAAAACCCCAAACTAGTACATTTATAACAAATTTATCCCAAATTAATTTTTTTGCCACAAAAAGCCCCAAACTAGTATACTCGTGACAAATTTACCCTCCGTTGGTTTCCCTCAAATTTTACCGTCAAATTTATTTGTTGGATGACACGCGGCAATTGACGGATGTACCAATTTGGCATTCTATCCTCCGTTTGTCACAGGTGTACCGGTCTGTGATTTTTCGTGGTATTGATCTAATTTAACGGAAGGTAAATTTGTCACAAATGTACCAGTTCGGGATTTTCGGCGGTCAAAAAATTAATCTGAGGTAAATTTATCACGGGCATACCAATTTAGGATTTTTTTTTGTAGTCAAGAAATTAGTTTGAGGCAAAATTATCACGGAGGTACCAATTGAGGAGGTTTTTCTCGTGATATTAACCCGTTCGTCCATCGAATGTAAGGTCACCTTCAGTGTCACATTCACGAATTTCTGCAAACTATCCTTGGATGCTTGCTTTCGCAATTGGGGTTGAAAACGGTGGAGCAACGCTGGCTGCACGTAATAGATGTGATGTGGCAATGTAACGCCCCTCTCTTCTTAACGTTTTTTGGGTCGTCATCTGCCTTTTTCGACATTCGGGGAGGGGGGGGGGGGGGGGCCGACCAACCCCACCACAATCCCCACCTCCCGGAGCTCGCGCTCCCCGTGAAGGTATCGTGGACCGTTTGGACACCTAAAATTTTCGCCTTGGGGGATGTCCCTATTCGCTTTTCGGAAAAAATAAGGGATTAAGATCGATGGTTGCGGTCGAAGTATGAGCACTATACAAAGCGTTCTTGTTATTGCACATGTTCCGGCATCTGTTTTTTTTTTCTTTCTTTTCTTCCTCCCGTGCCTCCCTTTATCGGCGACTGGCCACCGGCGACGGCCGGGTGGGCTCCCCTCGCCTGGGCTAGGGTCGCCGTCGCTCGGCCAGGCCAGGCGTGGCCTGGGCAAGCCCCGGCGAAGGCTCCTCTCGCCAGATCCGACGAGGCTGGCCCTCGTGCAGGCCACGGCGGCCTCGCCGAGCGTAGCCTTGGCATGGGTGACGTCCGGTGAGGCCGCCCTAGCCTGCGCAAGGGTCAACCTTGCTAGATCTAGCCAAGGCGAGGCCGACCCCCACTTGCGCGAGGGCAAGCCCCGGTGAGGGTTCGAGCCTCGTGCTAGCCTGGGCGAGGCTCGCTGTCGCCGGCAGGGCTCAACAAAGGCCCCCTAGCGGCGACAAGAAGAAAGGAAAAAATAAAAAATAGAAAAATATTAAAATGTTATTAAAAGTTGTCCACGTCATCGCCGGCGGTGCCACGTAGGCCAGCTGACGTCAACGTCAGCAAAATCTGACTAAAATTAGCCGGAAAGACTAAATTGGCACAAAGACAAAAAGTTTAGGACTGAATTGACACTAAAAAAAAATTTATGACTAAATTGACACCAATACAAAAAAAGTTTAGGACTTTTCTGACACTTTTCCGGTTGGATAACCATGCCTGGAAGTTAGAATGCTCTTGGATTCTTATGAATTTCGCATAACGTGCAGGTAACAGCACTTGGTTCAGTGGGGGTCACGCTTTGGTCACTTTCTCGTGCATTTTTGCCTTTGACCTCGGCTCGGGAGGAGCCAAAACTCGGCCCCGCATCGAGGCCGAGTGCCCCCCTCGCCTGACCGGTTTTCCGTATCCGGTCAGGGGAGTGTTCGGCCCCCGATTGGTCCGAGCCGCGCCCTTCCGTGTCGTCTTTCGTCGTTCTCTTCATCATGCCTTGGATTAGCAAGTCGAGTATTGTGTCGTTACATGTTCTAGGGGCTTGCTTCCGCATAGTGTTAAGAGTAGTAGGAAAATGGAGGATGTCGAAATTTGATCCGTAGTAAGACTTGTTGCTTGAACTCTTTCGCTCGAGCAATTTCAGTTGTTACGACTTGCTCAAATAATCCCTTTAAATCAGCACGTCTTAGAAGGAGCGCTTGAAGTAATCACGCAAGGTCTCCCTCGATCGACGTGGGACTCGAGATATCACAAACTCCCCCACTTAAAGAAACAATATCCACGATAGTATTGACTCGTACCTCTCCCTATTCAATGTGGTCCAGGCCATTCCCGACCCCTTGGCTATCCCAGAGGCTATTAAGAACCGCGCCTTGTCTCGACAGTTCAAATATCAGAGGAGGACATTCAGTTTCGCGGACTCATGCTCGATTGAATGGTTTATGAATCTGCAGTTTGAGCTGAACAATCTAATGCAAGACATACACAGATTGTCGCAAGTAATTAGATAGAATTGCATGCATTCTTGTGTTACACAAATGATTCAGTTAGAAGGGCATGGCCTCCAATTTTCTCACCTGGAGATCTACTCCATGCTCTGGTTCTATAACCAGCCTAAGAGCGGGTGAATGAGTATACTTGGTGGAGAGGCAAAAATCGAAATTGCAGAGAACAAGTGAGATCAGTATCTTGAGCTCAACCATGGCCAAGTTCTGACCGAGGCACACCCTTGGACTGACCCCGAATGGCATGTACAGAAGTGGAAGCTTGCAGGCTCCTGCGATCCCATTTTCGAATCGTTGCGGGTTGAATTTGTATGCATCGGGTCCCCATATTTCCGGGTCGGTGTGCAACGTAGCCACCATGATCCAAACATTTACGCCTCTTGGTACTTGTATATCTCTGAGTTTCATGTCCTCGAGAGCCTCCCTTGATACCACGGCTACCGGGGGATATAAACGCAGCGATTCTTGAATTACCATTGACAGCTGCAAATTAAAATGTGGACTGGCCTAGCGTGAGTCATCATGCCACTTTGCATGTTTCTGTCCTTTCGAAACGCATTTAAAAGCTAGTATTACATGTGAGCGGAAGCAGTACTACCTGTTTCATTCTACGCAGCATATCTGCATCAGGGAAGCGATTCCCACGAATCTGTAGGACCTCTGTGCGAACCCGAGCCTGCCACTCGGGGTTTGAAGCCAAGAGCATGAGGCACCGTGTGGCTGAAACTGCAGTAGTCTCATAGCCCGCAAGGTAAATGTTCTTGCAATTATCAACGATGAAGCTATCGGTTGCGTGCGGGCTCAGACCACCGTTTTTGGCGCCATCAAGAACCATCTGCAATAGATCCTTCTCGCCGGGAGCTTCTTTTCGCCCCTTCACTAATTGGAGTATCAAGCTTCTAACCTCTTTCTCTAAAGCCCAAGCCACTCTGTTGCTCTTGGTGGGAATATATCTGTACTAGCAACTATTAATTATTTGACTTCTCATTTCAGCCAATTATTGTCAATGATAAAATAGGCAGAGAAAAAGGAAAACCTCATGCCAGGAATCCCAGTACCCAAGTATTTCTTGGCCATCAACTCTTGGAGCTGCCTTAGCTTATGGGAAATGTCTTTCCCTCTACTGAAGTTGCTTCCAAAACAGGCTCTTGAGATCACATCTGCAGAGAAGCTTCTCATATGGTGGTCGATTTTGATATCTGCAGTTCCACCCTCAGTTTCGATTCTTCTTTTCCAGCATTCCAGCAATGTCACCGTGGATTCAGTAATCAAAGGTATCATGCCCTTCCAGAGTTTAAAGCATACTAGTTTCCATCAGAATATCCGTGAAACAACAGCAAATGAGAAGAACGAAAGTTCATGTCATTCAATCGATTCAACCTACATTCACATGATAGGGGGTGGGAATTTTTCTGAGTAATTATATAGAAATTATCCTAGAGTCCATCAGCCCAGCTCACACTTTTGTTCATGAGTCGCATTACTCCCAGGTTCCACAGTAAAATCAGATCAAGTCAGATCATATCATGAGGGTGTTTCTCCCCCTGCTTTAGATACTAGCCGATCAACAATCTCTCGACTTTTTTAGGTTCTAAGTCTTAATCTACCAATCTGACCAGTTATAGATATGGAAGATGGTCCATTTGATGCAACGAGGGATGTGCTCAAGATACGTTGACAGTTAGAAAAGGCCATAATATTACTACTTTGCAGCTAAAACAGTAAATACAAGTCTTGGACATGACAAATTATACCTTGACCTTGTCCATGAACAGCTCAGGAGCAATGATCTTCCTCTGATGGGCCCATGCACGGCCATTAGAAGTCAGAATGCCCCGACCAAGAAGAGGACCTCTCTCTCTATGTTGGTAGGAGGGTTTTCCCAAGTCCAAAGAGGTGCATGTCGTTATCTCTCTCACCACATCGGGTTGATTCACACAGAGTATTTGTATGTTACCCAGTGCAAACACGAACACTTCGCCTAAAGAAAACACAAGAAAATATGGTTGAGAAGCTTCCTGCACAATTCTCTGTTCCTTGGCTGATAAAGTTCAATGATTTTAGTATTGACAGCAAGAGTTACCATATTGAGCTCTCCATTGCTCAAATGAAGGGAAGAGCGAAGCTGCACAGTCATGAGAGGCTGAAGAATCACCTCCGACAGGCTTTTCGGTGGTCAGCTGTGATTTCTTGATCTCACTGATGTTTCCAAGTAAGAGCGATACAGGCGGTCCTCTGATGCCCTGCCTTCCGAGCAAGGTTCTAAGCCTCTGTGGCTTCAACACAAGCAGAGTGTACAGACGTATTGACAATCCTAAAACAACTACCAAAGCTAGTGCTACAAGTGCGTTACCAAAACGGGAATCCATGGAGAGGGCATACACTATTTTCTCTGTCGAGGTGAAACTCTTCAAGGAAATATTATGCTTGCCCGTCTGGGAATTTTAGATCTTGGTTCAGTGTCACTGTAAAGAGTGCTTCAACTATGCTCCCGTGACCCAATGTAGGCCACATTGGTTAACTATTCAAGGCCAGAATCATTGGGAGATCTCATGAGTATAAGCAACTCCTACCCTTAGCTCCTCTGCGAGGGAACCGGGAGAATCCATTACGTAACATATGTTTAAAGAGATTTATGCTACGAGGAAGAAAAAGTCAATACATAGGCCCAGCTTCAGGGTCCAGTCCAAGCCTGTCAGCTAATAATATGGGCCATGTTCCTACTTTGACACTTGCCACAAAATTGTCGCTAATCAATCCAAGACAGTAGTTTGATCACGGGATTTAGATTTAGCGGACACTCCGCAGTATGAAAATAATCAGAACGTGAATATCCTCACGCTTAAGGTTGCGGACCCGTGGTCGCTTTCATGTCTAGCTACAAACAGGCATGTTTGGATTTTCTTTCTCTTCCCTGTTTGGCTGGGGCTTCAAACCCCCAACCTTTCGTCCCCACCTCAACCCATGGCGGCGTGGTGCTAGTGCAATGCCAGAGATGGTGGTGGTTTTTGGATGGTTGTGGAGGTGGTAGGACAGTGACGGCAGTGACGGAGGAGGGAGGTGGTGGTCATGATGGGCGATTGGTAGTGGTGGTGGTTGTGAGGTGATGCTGGCGGTGGAGAAATGAAAGTTGGTGGTGGTGGGGAGAAATGGTGATTTTGTGGTGGTGGTGATAGGAAAACAATAGCAGAGGCGACGAAGACATCGTGTGGTGTTGATCTGAGTCCGTCCAACCTCAATCAACCTGGTGGTTTCCTTTGAAACATCCATCCAGTAATCAAATCTCATATCACACAGTAAAATAACAAATGCATCCTTAGCAACAAATATTAAACCTAAACAAATATAAAGTTTTGGCATTGCCTAATGCATCAATCAGCAAGTCATATTTCAATGATGAAGGAATAAAAGATAATCCAGAAATATCAGCTTATTATGTCCAAATCATGCTGAAATATTAGTCTCTCTCTGGCAGAGGTTAAACGGCAACAATGTTCTAGACCATAAACAGTCTAGGGAGCCAAGATAAACCAAAACTAATTAAACTTAGAGACAGAATGTCCGAAATGATAATGCTCGGCATTGATGGGGTACACGAACTAAAAGAAGTAAATGATGGCAGCTTCACTGGTCCTTTGGTTCATACCTTCTCTCACTTTCCTGCAAAATAAGAATGTTAAAGAGCAAGTTTAGTCCATGAGTATGCATGCTACTCTCTATAACTATGGATTTCCAGAAGGCAGATTGGAGTGCTACCTGAATCACGGTCGCGCTTGCTGGCAAGGAACATTCTCAGATGGGGGTCAATGGGCAGTCCCATTGCTTCATACATTGGATCATAGACTGAGTTGAATACAGGCCTGACATGCATGAGGATAAAGGTTCATTATTTTTCTCTTCACAATAATTATTTATCAAATGAGCAATAAAAGAAATATCAACAGGAAAACTGAAACTGAAGTTTCTATCAGTAAAAGGAGTACCTATTGGTGGGAACCTGACCCTGAGCACCTTGAATTTGAGTGACCCTATTGGTTAGCTCAGAAGCACGGGTTGGATGAACAATGTCGGACCAAGTCATGTTCACCTAAATATCATCGGTTCCATTTCTCATTTCATTATATCATGTTAATCAAAATTTTAGGTGAGGAAAAAAGAAGAACTAGATGAGGTTTAGAACACTAGTGAGGCAAGGCCTCAGGTGATTACCAGGGGAGGTCTCGAAGGTTGTCTTGGTGATGACTCTCCCATACCAATGTGGCTGCCGCTCACAAAGGGTCCTTGTACTCCTAGTCCTAGCTGCTCACATCGAAATTAAAAATAGTTCAAGGATCTGCTGGGTCATTTGCCAGCAACTAACTTTAAACAAGAATACAGTTATAATACAGAGGATGTATGTACCCCATGGTTGAAGTCGCCTATCGCTGGCAATTCTTCCATATGAAGAGGAAGAAACGGTCCCATATTGTAGGCACCCATTCCCTGTTGGCAGTAGAATGCAGGAGATAAATTTACAGAAGAAAAGGAAAAGTAGTCTAAATTATGTCATGCATATGTACCGGCTGAGTTGGATTGCTAGGAAGCTGAAGGTAAGGAGATCCTCCACTTTGGTAAATGCTATGATTTGGAGGCAGAGACACATGAGGAAGCAGTCTCTGGAACTGAATGTCTTGTTGCCTGCACTAGCATCTTCTAAATTAGTCATTTTGTTCGCAAGTTCATTTCTTAGGCTTAATTGGAGTGTAAGATAGCATGCAAGATATGTCTTGTTGGAAGCATTTTGTTTTGCATCACAGTTATACGGTTACCACACAAATAACGAAAGCCATAAAACAGAGGCAAGCATGACCTTGATATTATTGAGGGTTCAAACATGTTGATCTGTTGCTGGGGATGAGAGTTAGCCCACTGTGACCTGATGGCCATTCCATTTCCGACCTGGCCCTGTGAATTAACCAAGTATTGCAAACTAATGACGATTAGAAGATGTACAGGAAACTAATACACATTGATAGAAGCTAGAAGAGGGAACAAATTATGCAAAAGAAGGACGCAGAAGCTACGAAAATCAAATGCCATTTCTCACCAAAACTTGTGAGTGCGATGGGTTCAGTTGGGACCCAGGAAATCTTACGGATGATGGAAAGTGAAGCTCTGGAGGCAAGTTTGGGGTGGGCAGATTGATGTAGGTGTTGATATTGTGCGAGTTGACCGCAGTCCCATGGATGCCGAAAACGCTTCTTACCGGTTGATCAACAGGCAAGTTTGATGGAGGCAGCTGAGACTGCATCCCCCTGGCTGGAGGCCTAGATTTTTCAGTTTACATGGGAAGAGTGATTTTAGTTCGTTGAAACAGATTCTATGAATAACAATTATGAAGTTTGATGTTAATAATAATTATTAAGATCCAAATTGAAAGAAAATAAAACATACAAAATCGATTGGTCAGGGCTCAAGTTGCCTTGCACAGGGACCTGAAGCTGGTCTTGTGGGGTCAAATGAGTATCTTGGTCGATATGGAAGGTCTGGGAACCTCCGCTTATGGTTGACACCTCTACCTGCTTGCAATTGGCAAGAGTTTTATCCGCTTTGCAATATGATATGAAAATTAACGATTGGTATAACCATCGACATTGTGAACAAATAACTTGAGAGGCAAGTAACAGAGTTGTAAAAGATGAGCGTTACCGGAGCAGGAGAGAAGGCCTCCGTAGTCTCCTCCTCAGATGCAGGAAGCAGGTCTGCTTTCTGCAATTCAGGAGTACGCGCCACTGGAGTGAAATCCACGCTCACGTTGTCAATCAGTTGATTTCTAGACGATTCAAATCACGAGTTAGCCACGACTATAAGAAAGCCAAAGGAAAAAGGTCGTAAATGAACTTAAGCTGAGAAATTATGCAAGACCAAAGGACTTTGTCACTTCCTATTGAAATTTTTGTACCACACGATCGTTTAGTGATACACATCATGTACCTTTTGAGCATGGTTCCTTCAGAGTGATCATCACAGTCAGATTGAGCATCATGCTCATTGGTATGATCATCATGATCACCGGTATCCTCATGAGGCTCGTTATGTGCATCTGAAGAGGAAGAGGACGGTGAATCTCCTTTCTTCTCCACGGGCTCCTCCACCTGGTAAAAGATTCATAAGAAGGCGAAGCTACAATTGATTGCACACAAAGCACCTAGTATTACCACTTAATTTTACATTTTTTTTACCTCTTGTCCCAAGTGATGTAGAACATATAGGTTTTGGGCTATTTTGCCTTCTAATGAGCACATTCACAATCAAACTCGTGAGAATGAAATCCTCTGAATAAATCTCATCTATTATATAGAGATATAACCGGAAAAGATATGTCAAATTCGTGCATAATCGTTGATGGTTGTGTCTTTGCATTAAATTTCAGATACGATAGATATGTCACATGTATCTCAAATGTGATAAAAAGGAGTATATTTAATCGAGGAGTTATTATCTAATCTATTGACGCAATAGAACGTTGGGGAAATTTTAAATAATGATTTGAAATGGGGCCGTTTTCTCAAAAGAACGCCCGGAGTGGACGTTGTTTTAAATAAGGCCCGGAAATGGCCAACTTAGTCTCAAATAATGCCCCGATCTCCCCGACCGGTCGACTCTAGGCCCTTCTTTGAGAAAATAGCGTCACTTCAAATCCTTATTTGAAATTTTCCCTAGGATGTATAACTTTTCTCAATTGAATGGAGAAACACTTTTTAAAATTAAATGCCCATTTTTTGCGGGATTTTTCCTATGCAAAGGATGATAACTTGATAACAGTCTTGCTTATGAAATATCACTGCAACAACTTATGCATGAGAGAGATTAGAGACAGTCACCCTACCCTTCGCATTTTCCGCCTGTGCAAAGCATCTTGTGAATCAACTTCTTCGGTCGACATTCGCAATTTCCTGAAAGCGAACAAACCCCATATATCAGAAAGTAAACTTCTTCTGAAAAAAAGTGGATACATGCTACAGAAATGACTGTTGATAGATTCAATGGACAAGAAAAAAGCGCAATTGAATGAGCAATTATTCTTTTCCCATATCTTTTCTCTGCAAAATCGTTCACATGTTCCCTCATTAGATACTACTCAGCAGGAATAGTTAAGAAATGCTGGTGCTTGCAAGGTTTATGAATCCATAACAGTATGTAGACTTGTTTAATCAGTGGTGAAAAAAAAAAGAAGCAGGACTTCAACACATGCGCTATGACAGATAACAAATGGATTTACGGTGGTAGATAGTCATCCTATTGAACCCTTCAAGTACTTGGCATGAAAGTCATCTTTGAAATTCATTCTGCATCCTCACAAGCACATAAGTGACAGATTAAATGAACTTATCAAAAGAAATATGCTTTTGCTCGATAACTTGAGCCTAAACATGTTTCAATATTACTGTACCAAATTGGTCGAGAAAGAACAAATGAACAGACGACTCAAGCTAACTGACCAAGCAAGGGATCACAGATATCTGAAGGCGTATTGATATGAACTATGAAGGATAGACTCTCAAGCTTAGCTGAAAATGGTGGACTACATACCTCACAATTTGTTCTCTTAGCCACACCAAAGGGACCGACCAAGATTCTCAAGCAGATTGATCTAGTCTAAAATGAAGGCCTATATATACAACCTTTTCTTTTGCATCCCAATTTGGATTTTCTCCATAAATGATCCACAATCTGCACTACGTTTTAAGGATGGGAAGGGTCATGAATACATGAAATTTTGGGAAAAGTGTCAAATGAATCTGACGTGGCACCATCGGAGCCATCCATCTCAAACATATCTAAGGTTTCTAGGCTCTTTTTGGTGGAGAAAATTTGCAGCCGGCCAAGTTTGGTAATATTGAGGAAAAAAAAATCGTGTGATTGCCTTAGTTAGGATGGAATTTTCCCTTTTCTGAAGTTTCCCTAGATGTCTGGTCAATGAACCTCTCCCAGTGGAAAGATTATTAGATGGTAACGACATAATGCATACCATAATTCATCAGAAGAGATACAAGATGGGAGCAGGTAGCACCTGATTTTGGTAAGAACAGTTTACAGTAAGTAGAGGTGACTTAGCTGGTAGACTTATAAGGCCATATGAAAATTCAGTAGCTGTACCAAACCAAAAAAACCAAAATGGAATTCATCAACAGCCACTTAACGTGATTTGCCAACTGAGCAACTTCTGTTCATATCACGTTACTCCTAATTTATCTGTAATGCCGTCACATTAAGAAGAAATTCCGTATAGAAGATTGACGGAAAACTCTCGAGAAGTACCTTTTCCGTTGCTTTCCGTATTACGGAAGTTACGGAAAGTACGGAAAGCTCGTCAACGGGAAATGATTTCTCTCATTAATGGTAGATACAGGACTAGATTTTTTTTTAACGGCTTTACGTATTTGTAATAAAGAACCATATCGGCGATCTACTTTAGTAGATATTGAACTAGATTTTTCTTGACGCATTTACGTATTTGCAATAAATGACGAACAATTCGGCATCGCATTAAAACTTTTCAACCTTCCCAAGTTGATTATTGCGTTATAGGCAGAAAATATCCGTCCCGCAATCAGGATAAATCTAGAAGGGTTTTCAGGATATCTGGTGTTTGTTGCACCCCCCATCCCAAGTAAGTAAGATGGCACTGTTCAAGGAATTTTTGTAAATGAAAAGTTTGCTGCTAAACGCAATCCAAAATTTAAGTTGGTCGGTCCTACATGCTCGTGCGCTAAGAATTAGTTTGTATTGATGATAGCTACTGTCATACAACATATTTCTTCAAGAGAGATATATGCGGTTTGTGTTATTACAATATAATGTTGTGGCTATTTCTGTTCTATATACTCTATACGTGCCAAACGGTATTTTTAGGCTGTTTAGTTTCTTCATCCATCATTAGAAGCATAGCCTTCGGCAAACCAATTGTACTTCTACCATCGTGTCAAATGATCAAGTTGTCAACGACCGCGACCATTGATCACCAGCCCTTCTAATGTCGGGCTGTTGGGATTTCCACCAAATAGGACAGGAGACCGCATGTTACTTTGTCTAATCATCTACTTATGCAATGTATGGAAAGAAAATCCGTTTGCAAACTTGGCAGTGCCTATGTTCAAAACCAATCTGCAATCAAAGGGAAAAGGATAGTTGTCATGGGCGTATACTCTATATCCTTGAATGTCGTGCACTTTATCGGTTGATAATATCAAACGTCACCGCTGATTAGCACCCTTAACGTGGTCATTGGCCAGTTGAGTTGTTGATGCTTAGACCGTCGCGCATTGGCCGCACCAATGTTATTTACCTTCTCGTTATATGTATGCTAAAACGGTCATCGACATGAACATTCTGCACACCTGATCTAACATGAGAGTTTTGGAACCTTCATGATGTAATAATAGCATTTGGATGGTGTTTGAACAAAAGCTTAGAGCTTTATTAACTTTTGAAGAATCAAACTGATGTGCTATTACAAAGATCAAGAACAGCTTACATCAATTTGACAGAACATAAGAACTCAAATGTCGTCTGAGTGGAGAATGAAAAGGGAAAATCCAATCACAGAAAAAGTAAACCAATCAAATAGCATAGGTTCCAGTTGACTCCTCGAACAAGAAAAAACTTATCATTACTCAAACATCATTTTTAGTATTCATTGACTCCTCAACTTCTGAAGCAGTCTCTTTGAGGGATTCCTTGGTCTCTCTAGTCTTGTCAACAACCGTGTCTCGAGCATTATTCCAAGCATCCTGCAGCTTTTGTTTTGCTCTCCCAGTCAAGTCTTCAGTTGCAGACCTAGGGCCAGTTGAGTAGTTTGAAGCTTGTGTCACCTGCACAAATTTTTCAATATTTGAATCCGGGAATTCAAGTGTGTGTCGGTTTACAATTTATGAAATATATTAACCAAGCAAGGAGGATAAGTACATTATCTGTCGGTATCGATGATGCAGCTGGGTTTGAAATGTTCTCACTGGATTGCGATGTAGCTCCTGGAATTGAAGAGTCGGTCGCAGTTGGACCCCCTTCAGTCTAGGATACAAAATACATAGTATGAGATTGTCACCGACTCACCAGCAAAAAAAGGGTAATCATGTCCCGAAAATTAATTAAAGGTTCAACATTTTTGTTGTAATCGGTTGAGACTATAAACATTAAAATTATTGAACAAACTAAACACCGGCATAAGGTATCACCAATAAATAACCATGCTAATGACATCGGAAAAAGAATTGCTATTACAAAGATTAGGAGCGATATGAATCCTTTCATGAATATTTGCGAGTTCGGTGGGTGTTTCTGCTCTAGAGAATAACACGACAGAGTTCAATGCTAGGCGGTCCTTCAAGAGGACGAGGGAATTCCACATTTACCTCAATGGACCTGGAAATGACCTTAGGAACCAAAATACTGCTCTTGGCCAAGTTAGCTCCAACCTGAGCCAACTTGGGATTCTTTGCTGCATGGAGGACCATGTAACTTGCCATCTTTTCTTATCAGCCTTTTTTTTGGTTTGGCGCGGATGAGTTTCACGGCTAGGAATTGCAAACAGAGAAGCGTGAGTAATGATCTGATTGCTCTCACCTCAACCTGAGTGACGAGTATATAAGGAACAAGCAGCAGTCCACTCTGTTGTTCCAGCAAAGGATAGAGAGCGTTTTTCGATAGCTGAGCTGATGCCAACTCCATGCATCTGGAATGTGACCCGGTATTGTAGGCCTGGACGTTTGGTTTTTGACCGACGCATGCCCTGTTCTGTCGTTACGATATTCTTGACGACATTTGCAAGATCTAGGGACAGAGCTTCTAGGCTTTCTATGACCTACCCCACAAATTATTTTCTTTCTTTTTTATGACACCACCCACTTCAAAAGAGAGGTGATTGAATTGGGTGTTTTAAGAGTAGAATTAAGGATTTGATCGAGGTATTCTTCGTAAAATTTCTCAAAGATGAAATTCATAGTTATTTTCACCTGTCTTACTCAGGATTACACGGGAAGACCAAATTCTAAACATTATATAATGCAAAACCAAACACTACTACACTTCATAGTCTTTTGACTGTTTTCTGTAGCCATATGACAACACAGCAGAGCATGGATTCTGAAACAACAATAGCCACAGCAAAGTGAAACAAGGTTTCAACATTTTCTGTCTTGTATCCGGCATGAAACGCTTATTAAGACGACGAAGATTGAACTTTCTGTTGCCCGATGCGGTAAAACTACTTATGACTGCATCCAAATTGACAATGGCAGAGAACTGGCTTCGCAAACGACAGCCGCAATAACAGCTACAAAGAACCGATAATGGTCGAATGCTCATCAACAAATCACCGACGGGACCAATCACCTATTTCTTCCCATATCATGTCAAGCATTTTGTGATATAGAATGGTCGAATGCTCAAGCCCCCGAGACTTTTTAAGGGAAACAAACTATGTAAAACCATCCAAAATTCTGAAAATCACCCACTCGAGAGAGTCTTTTAACAATCTGTGCTTCTTTGCCATCTTCTCACATCTAGTGCTCACAGCACAAAAACAATAATAAAACAACTACAAGTTGATTCTTTTGGGAACCCAGTGAGACACTCTATCTATTTGACTCCAACTACCGACATGAGAAACCGAAGCTTGTTGCTCACTTCCGCAAGGTCCGAAGTATCCTTGAATGAGGCAGGTGGTTCGACACCGGTAAAGATATAGAGAGCTTTCAGTTCCTCGATGCACGACGCCTGCAGTTTAGCCTTGTATCCAACTATCTTACGCATCGCCTTGATCTGTTGCCATATTTTTTCCTCTGCATATATCTCCTGGTCCTGCAGAAAAGGGTGAACATGTGAGCATCTAATCATCCCAGCCTTAAAAGTGCTTTATTAATTCGAATATGATATACAGAAAACAAAAACGATCACCAACTTCCAGCCCATTTGGGCCTGCTCATTCACGAGCATGGATTTCCATAGCATAACTCTTTTTGTTTTTTTTTTGACCGGGAACCCCCCCCCCCCGGGGGGAAACCCAGGCGGCGCCCCTCACCCCCCCACCCCACAACCCCCCCCCCCGTAAACCCCCCCGCGGCCCGCATAAAACCACCCACAATTTGAAAGGGAACCAGCCCCCGCCACAAACACCACGGGGGGGGTTAGATAGCATAACTCTTTGACATCTCCTTCGACCAAAAAAAAACAAATAAAAAACTCTTTGACATCTCCCAGTAAACTAATTGTAACTTTGTAGGACCATTACCGATTGTTATATAAACTTAAGCTATTTAATAAAAACATGTTTTAATATTTGAATTCTTCAACATTTCTCTCATGCATAGGCAAGACTTTATCCTTAAACTAAATCATGAAAACATATGATAAGAGAGACAAATAGGGGCGTAGAAAGATTTGAACTTACGATCAGGAGTTTAATACCATGGAAGATTTTAAAGGACCACTGCCAATTGTTTTAAAAACCGATAAACAAAGCTATTTAAATCCACCAACAGATCTACATTTTTGTTGAAGACATTCGGGAAAATGAAAATCATAACTGGATCAAGATGTAGATGATGGAGATTCTTTGAAATGCAAAATATCTCATAGCAACAGAATTTCATTTTGATTGTCCAAACTGCAGAGAATTTTAACTACTAAAGTGAACCAATGAGCGGGTACTTCTTTGAACAATCACTCTGGAACTTCAGAAATTTGATCCTAAGACTAATAATCCCATTGAACTAAAAAATGAGGCTGACATATTGGTGACATTGAAGAACTGTCAAATTTTCATCATATTATGCTCTAACACATTCATGAATGACAGTGAAATCATATTTCCGCCTGATTTAATAAGTCCAATAGTGTGGCAAAGCGTAACACACCACATGCACATAATTACAAGCGTACTTGGTCAGTTTATTTCTTGAGACAAGCGCTGTATCTGAGGTGCATAGCACCAACCAACCAGAGTTTCTATACAACACTTTCTCACTTAAGAGATTCATTAGCTCAGTATAATTTAAAGGACAACAATACACGGTGCAAATTGGTAATTTGTTCTGACCAAATAAACATAAGAGCTCTTAACTCAATGATTGCCAACACCAATGACACAAGCCAGTTTAATTGCTTCCAGTATTGAGCAGTGAGCTTTATGCATGTTAGGAAGACAAATGATGACTGACCACTACGAAAGATGGAGAAATGCCTGTCCCAGCCAAAATTTGGAGGCCTCTCCCATCATTTAACCCAGAGGAAGCAAGAGAAATAGGAATCTTTGCATCTCCAATACCCAAACTGTTTTCCTGAACATTTCCTGCATTATGGATTACTGAAATCATTCTCTGAGTGTTTCTTATGGCAAAATTAACAAATGCTAACTAATAGAAGCTACTGGCATCCTCAACCGCTACCTTTAGAAGTTCCTTGTTTGAGTCTTCCGGCATCCACCTTAGTGCTAGTTTTCTCCTTCCCATAGTCAGTAATCATCTTTTCGCTTTCTTCCTTGATTGGTGTCTTCTCTCCTACAACAAAACTAGCCACTTTCTTATCCTGATCAGGGTGAGCATTCCCACTTTGCTTTGTATTATGCACATCTGTTTCCCTAGGGAGCTTCTCGATTCTCTTTTCTTCAGCTTTCTCCTTTTTTCTACCTTTTCTTTTGCCCTTTTTCCCATAATTTTTAGCTTCAATTAGCATATCTATTTCATCAGCAGCTCCATGTATTTCATCAGGTCGCATCTTCTCTTCCTCCACTGGATTATGAGGTTTTCCCTCGTCAGAAAATGTTTCTATCAACCCCCTAGTCTCTCTCACCAATTCATCTTCTCCAATGTTTTGCAGTCCCCCGCTCTCCAATACAACCACATTTGTTACTTCAAGGGGTGCCCCAATTTGGTCAAACTTACTGTCATCATTCTCATCCACTTCTAGTGTAAGTAAAATGCCCCGCATCTCATCCCTTGGCTGCTTAGACAAACTTCCTTCTATTATGTCATCGTCTTTCTCCATTATCTCGTGAACCTCCGAACTTAAGTCCCCCACCATACCTCTGTTATATATCATAACTATCCCCGACCATGGTCTTCTCTTCTTCATTTCCTTCAACCGATTCAAACCTCATCTTCAGTTGTTCTTTAATGCCCTCAGTTTGCTCGACTTCTTCCTTCTCCATATAAATATCTCCTCCAAATCCAACCTCTTCCTCCTCCTCCTCCACCCCAATTCCTTCTCATAAGGATTTGGAAGCAATGTACTTATGAGCTTCTCAGAGCAAGCATAACTTGCAAAGAAGAGCCCATAAGGAACGGAGACAGCAATCCCTAGTGCAGAGACTACCACAAGAGGAGGAAAAACAATTGGGGCAGAGGAGATCACCATGCCTATGACTAGAACCTTCTTTCCGATTGCTACTCCCCTATTCCATAACCAACTAACTTTGCTGTTGTCCACTTCAGAGGAGTATTCCTCGATATCCCAATCCATGCTCAGTTCGTCCATCCTGCCAAAACAATGTCACCTCAAAGAAATGGGAACAAATGCTTCAAAAATATCATGAGTGTGTTACCTCGAAGGATCTCCTAGTCCCTCTGCATCTAATTATCCCATAAATAACATAAGCAACAAAAGTTAGGCTACAGATGTTGCTATCTATGGGTTTATGCAGAGACTGATGCAACCAGGAAAACAGTAACCGATGGGATAAACATATCTAGAACAAATCGCTATTAAAAGGAACTTGTCTCATGGGAGGTCTTCCCAGTTAAAAGTTTCCGACGCAAAAGCTTGAACTATATATCATTTAGGCGGTGAGGGGACCGTTTATATTAGCTCAATTCTAATCCCATGTTTGTGTTAAAGCGAAACCTCTGACATCTCCTGTCACATGCGAAGTGGCAAACAACGGTGTAATTAATATATCCTGCACTACTCATGCAAGGCTGATAACCGCAAATTCCATCTTAGGTAATCAGGTCAAACAACACATTATCAGAGAAGGGTTTTCAATCCGAAGTCTTAATGGCACAGATTTAGACAGCATAAATACATTTCCATCTTCGATGTTCGAGCGACGTGGAACTCTAGTACTCCTATTCCTCGAATTACGGTTGACCCAATCAGTTCGAACTAATTTGGCCACTATCTTCTCACGTCTCCCTATTTTGCAGCACACAAAAAAATATCGAGTTCTGGAGTTCTGGCCAAGACGAATACACAACTAACTATAGGCATGATAAGCAGTATCTTGTGCAAACAGACAGCTATGCTGAACCTAGACAACATTTGAAGTGAGCTAAAAAGGGCTTATTATTTCTGACACTAGGAGATAGCAAAGAAAGCCTCTGTGGGTTTACCTGGGTAGTCAAGCAGCTGTGTGAATGCTGCTAATTTGACGGGGTAGATGCCATTGGAGCAGAATTTCTCGAAGCAGAGCGAACGAAGGGTTCAAAACGAAGGGTGCTGATAGCATAAAACCCTTGGCTAGCTAAGGAAGAGGAAGAAGAAGAAGATAAAATTTGATGCAGGGACTTTGCAGAGGACACGCGGTGGAATTGGGTTCCCTGACAATCTTGCAGGCAAATGGTGGA